AAATTGTTAGCAGAGCCTCTTAAAAAAAAACTTGCTGTTTTTTGTTGGTTTTTTTTTTTTTTTGCTTATGCTGAGTCAGGAAAACTTCCTTAATTGAGCCATGTGAGTCTTTGCTTATTACTAGCAAAACAGAGCCCACCTGAGAAAATGCTGCCACCAAGAACACATGCTTTCCTATGTTCTTTTGTTTCTAAAATTCCTTTAAAGCTTTTGTCATTCTATGTGGAAATTCATGATCCCAGTCCTGATCACCAACCTTCTAAGTATCTGAAATTTCATAAAGTCAGTTACACAACTACAAGATAGGTATGTGACTAGCCCTTGATATAAACCCTAGACTCCCCAACTCCAGTGATCTCCCCCTGTGAAAAGCATTCCCACATTACAACTCATTTCTGACAGGTGTAAATGCAACCTGTGCTACAGGAGAGAATTCTGAGACGCTTGAGCCTGTGTTTCAAGCCGTCAACTCTGGTCGGTTCCTTCAATTTGCATCCTTTCGTGTGACAAATTTGAGCCATAGAGACAACCGTGTACTGAATTTCGTGAATCTTCCTATTATATCAGCAAATTTGGAAGCTAGAGTGGAGGTACCAGACAAAAATCTATCCTAGAATGAGCTTTAAACTGGAACATATATGACTACATCTACCTGTGGGATGTTGCTTTGTTTCTTCAGAGTGTCAAAGAGTGTACTATTATTATCAGTAAAGCAATGACATGTAGTTTAGAGATTGTCTTAGCTGCTTTTCTGTAGCTGTGCTAAGACACCATAGCCAAACAACTTAGAGAAGAAAGAATGTGTTGGGCCCTACAGTTTGAGAAGTTGGAGTCTATGACCATCACAGCAAAGAGCATCACAACAGGTCAACAGGCATGAAACTGAAGCTGTGGCTGAGAGTTGATGTCTTGACCTACAAGTATGAGGCAGAGGCAGCTACCTGGGAATGGCATAGGCTTTTGAAACCTCAAAGTCTGTGCCCAGTGCCACACCTCTTCCAACGGGCCACCTCCTAAGTGTTCCCAAATAGTTATATCAACTGGGGACTGAGTATTCAAATATTTGAGCCCGTGGGGGCCATTCTCATTCAAGCTTCTACAGGTTTGAATGTAGTATTGATATATAGTATTGATCTACTATCAAGTGATGTCCACCAAAAATTTTTTCCTAATAAGTAATAAAGATTAAGATGTTAATAAATTGTTGTTCACTTGGAACATAAAAACCCATGCTCCCATGCTTTTTTCAACCACTACAGCATGCACATGTATACACACACTCACACACACTCACACATACTCACATATATGCACACACAGGCACGCACGCACACACACACACACTTTTAACTGATACAAAAGCACAAGCTATAGATGGCAAAGAGTTCCAAAATAGTAACATTATTATAGTTAGAATGAAACACAGAATTAACAATGGGAAATATTGTTTAAAGCAACTTGCTTCTTATTGGTTGAAAACAAAAAACTTGATGGAAACAAATTTTTATTTTCCTCTCAGAACTCAAATTATTCTAAGAATTCACCTCCTACATTACTAGTATTTGATATTTAATCTCCAGATCTCTTTAGAGAAATTTGTCAGCGTGGCAGATACAACCTTAAAAGAAGCTCTAGAAGTCTACACAGAGAGAAGAAGAAAAACAACAACACAATTCTTTGAAGTTGCTGGAGACATTCTACAAAAGAACATTAATGAGATATAAATGAAATTCAATAATTTGATAAACTACCAAAGATGGTCTTGGGAAATACATCTGTTACTTCTCAAGATGATAACATAGTGACTCTCACATCTCATAACCCGTACCCTCAAAAATGAATTAGGTAGAAAAGTCATGCACTATGTTGCATGTGTTGGGGCCACAAACCTGTGTCTATGTGCTGAGTTACAGCTAATATAATTGATTAAAGGGAAAGTTTTACAGACAAGTTAAAATATAATTTAAAAAATTTTAAAGTTGCCCTCAAAAGATAGCTCGGTGTTTAAGAGAACTTGCTGCTCATCCAGAGGACCTGGATTTGACTACAGGCACCCATGTTGAGACAGTCAAAACCTCCTATAACTTCAGTTCCAGAGGACCCAACACTCTCTTCTGGCCTCTGCTGATATCCACACACATGACCCCCCCCCACACACACACACAAATAAATATTTTTAAAATAAATTTTAAACAAATAATTCATCCCAACAGTAGTTCTTACAATTCAGGCAATTTCTGTATTGGAGTTTCTCCACATCATTTTCTTTCCCCCACTATCTCCTTCCCATTGCAGGCCCTTAATTTGAATATGACTGGGCCTTGCCCATAATTGATCCCTGATACTCAAATCAATTCCTTTTATGGAAAGAATTCAATAATGTTTATGAGATAGGCTCTGTGTAATCCAAGCTGGCCTTAAATTTGGTATGCAGCTGAAAGTGACCTTTGACTTCTGGTCCTCCTTCCTCTACCTCCCAAGTGCTAGCAGTACAGGTTCCACCACTCGGCGTGCTATTTTCACAAGTAAATTATAATTATTGTTGTTAAGAAGTGGAAACTGAAGGTAAGAAAGAACCTTTGTAAAAACAAACACTGAGTCTAAACCATAACCTCTCCCTCTATCTAAAAGCAAGCTTTTCTAGTGTCTCTACTCTCATCTCTATACAGACATTCAAAGTGGGATGCGTCTAAACAAGGATAAGAGCTGACCTGTGTGGTTTGTTCTTGCTGACTCTCTGATGTCCATGGTTCTGTCTACCTGTCTGGGCCTATTGTGCTTGCTTACCTTCTTCTTGGGTTAGATGGAATCCATAAACCTGATACCTACTGGCTGTACATAGCTCATGATCGCTTGAAGTCAAAAAGCCATTCGTTTCAGAGACAGACAACAACAGAAAAATAACTGTGATGATCTATAAGAATGGCACAATCTCTTCACTGATCTATCAACCTCCTTCCTGTCCTTTACAGCTAAGCCTGGTAGAGTAGAGCTACAGCATTTCAATCACATGAATTTTAGTGAAAACTCTTAGCTCTAAATCTGGCGTTTGGTGGTACATTGGTCAGAAGACTGAGACAGAAGGATCATAAATTTGAGGTCAGTCTGACCTATGCAACACACTCTCTGTTTCAAAAACTACCCCCCCAAAATAAATAAATAAAATAAAAATGACTCTAAGGACTATGCAATATCTGTCTATGTCTTATTGATTTTTTTAAAGTATTGACTCTGTGGTGAGCTATCTCTTCAGTTCTCAAAACTGAAGCCACTTCAGAAGGATAGCCGCAAACACGCCAAATGGCACAGAAGCAAACCATGTAATAGCATCTGGAAGGAAATATGCCAGGCAGGAGTATACACAGAGTGGGGCTACCTATACTTCTTAAGTTACTGGGAGAACTTTGACTTCTCTTTGGCAGGAAGATGCTGGAGATTTTCACTTTCATTTTAACAGAATCATGTTTGCTGTTATGTCAGGAACGCACCTAAAGGAGTAAAAAGCAATGGTAGACAACCAGTTTTTGGAAGGTATAGCAATTATCTTGGTAAGAGGCAATGGGGGCTGGGAACACGATACAAACAGTGGATCTGTTAAAGACTCAAATTCAGGATGTGTCAAAGATTAAGTCAGGAAGATTGCTGACTGATTAAGTGTGGGATATAAGGAAAGAAATCAAGACTTTCCCGAAAGAAGTCTGACTGGATACATTGAGGGGATACTGTTGTCATTTAGTGGGATAGGAATGAATGCAAAACCAACAGAATGGGCTAGAAAGACAGAATATTAAGAATTCCATTCGGGACACTATATGCTGTGTATAGACTGTGTTTTTCTAATCTATATTGCTTTATCTCACTAGTGCTAATTCTATTCTCAATCTTAAGCCCAGACAAACCTCTGGTGTATAAAGCTAGATCCTGACTCCTAATATGTCGCTATAGACTAATACCTACTTCATACTGACAAAACACCAGGAACCAGGGTCGCAGTATTACTGCAAGATCTCATTTATCAGATGTGATCTTCTTTTATACTGATTTTGGCTTGATTTTCCTGAACTTCCACAATTCTCTGTGCTGTTTAAGATTCCCATGGCAACTTTAATGGGGTTAGTTCCCCTAAATCCAATTCTAGTTTCCACCCTCTCACTAGTAGATCTAACTGCTAGATGCATGTCTCATCTTTGATCTTTTGTCTACACTGGGAAGAGTTTGATTGCGTATGTCCAGAGAAAGCGTAGCTGCATATATTGTCTCTAAGTCATCTTTCTAAAATTTATGTGTCGGGTATATGCCGATGCTTTTAAAAATACTGGAGTAACAGAGTGGGGAAAGGTGATTAAATGTTTGTAGTGGTCTGAATGAGAACGAACTCATATGTTTGAATACTTGGTCCCTGGTTTGTGGAACTGTTTGGAAAGGATTACAATGTGTGGCCTTGTTGGAGGTGGAGAATGCATTTTAAACCTTGAAAGGCCGCCTGCCATTCTCAGCTCTGTTTCGGTTTATGGATTTGGATGTAAGCTCTCAGTTGCAGCTCCAATTGCATGTCTACAGGAGAGTTACAGTCCCTTCTCTGAAAATGAGGTGCTGTTCCAATCACATTTCTCACCAGCTCTAATTTTGCAAACGTATTTTTCTCAATGATGTGAACTTATGATAAATGTCAATCATTGACCAGAAACAGAAGATAAAAGGGGCTTGGAATCCACAAGAGCTTTGCTCTCTGGATCCTTCTCTTGTGCCTCAAAGACCACAGGACGAGGTAGGTTTCGCACCTCGGGAAACCGCTAGAGACTTTCCCACAGAACACACCAATCTGATGCACAGTTGGTAAGGCCAAGGTGTTAAAGTCGGCGGGCTTTCCCCCCCACATCCTCGCAGTCTTTGGCGGTGAGAAGCTGGAGTAGGCGAGAAGGCCCTCGAAAACTACAATTCCCAGCAGGCGCCGCGGCAATGAGACTCTCACTTGTCCTGTCAGAGTCTATGAATGAAATCGTGCTGAGGATTCTGGGAGAGAACAATGGCGGCTGCTGGACAGTGGCATAGAATGGGGAGGCTCTTTGAGAAGGCGCCAGCACTGGGGCGTTGGCCCCGGGTTTACAGCACGTCCTCTGCTTTTGCTGAAGTGCTAAGGCTACCTCAGAAACAGCTAACGAAAGTAGTGTACCCGCTGCGGGAAATGGCACAGTACCTCGTCGGGGACACCGGGTCAGGTCTCATCGAACAGAGACTCTTCGACCCGAGCCTGGAGGACATCGCGAGGGCCGAGAGCGTCTTCGAGGCCACGGACCGGAACCGCATCGAGTACCTCAGCTCCGCGGTCCGCCTAGACCACGCCCCGAGCCTGCAGCAGCCCGAGGTGAGAGACATTGAAAACAAACAGAAAACTCGGTGTAGATGCACTGCCTCTTGTGCATTGCCCGTGGAGAACCGCAGTGAGCCGCAATGTGGGTGCCCGGAATCGAACCCCGGTCTCTGGAACGGTAGCCGGTGCTTCATTTTTGCTGCATGCGTGTTTGTGCACCACATGCTTGCCTGTTGCCCTCAGAAGCCAGAAGAGGACATCCGAGCCTCCTAGAACAGGAGTTTCTGGCATTTGTGAGCAGCCTTGTGGGCTGGGAATTGAACCACAGTCCTCTGGCAGCAAGTGCACTTAACCACTGAGCCATCTCTCCAGCCCCGCTAATAGAACACTCAGTAATAAACCACTGTTCAGTTCTCTAAGCTCTCCGTTCTCCTTTTTGCCCCTCATACTAGGTGTGTTTCATAGGCCGAAGCAATGTTGGAAAATCCTCCTTGATAAAGGCCTTGTTTTCAATGGCCCCTGATGTAGAAGTCAGAGTCTCAAAAAAACCGGTATGCTGGGTATCTCTTGAATGTACTAAAATGAGACCTAAGTTTTGGAAGGTGCAAGAGATCATAATTGCTAAGTTCCTAGAGAAGACATTTCTTTTAAACAAATAGTAAGGTAAGACATATCATTAGCGCCTGTGTATTTCCTGAAAAAAAGGGAAGTATGGCTAAATTGACTGCAGAGGTCTTGCCAAAATCTTGAAGAAAGTATCCTTTAGATAGAATCTTCTCCAACTGGCAAATTAAGCATTTTGTTACTGTTTGCTGTTTCCTTATATAATAGCATCAAGTTCCACATTAGTTGTAGGAAAAACGGGTTTCAAGTTTGCTTTATCTCCTATAATCCTTTATACCTTCTCTACTCCTACACACTCTCGTACATTCTTACTCTTTTCCATGTTTACTCTTTTCCCCAAGGCCGCTCACTTTGTGCTTGTCTTCACAGACACTCTGCTCTGCTGGCCTTCTGTCATTCCCCCCTTCCTTCTGCTTCCTTTTCAATGCTGCAGACTCAACTGGTATCTAAAATAGCCTTTTCTCAAAACTCATCCCTGGTTCCCCCTACCTCAGTATCTGTGTAACAGACCAGCTCTAATGTTCACTGTTCCTCACCGCTTTCGTGAAACCGCGAGCAAACGTTTGCCCCCCCCCCTCACTTCATGTAATAGATTCTCTGGCTTCATCACTAATGATTCCATTCCTTAGCACTTCCTCTTCACTCCTCTTCTTCCTCACCAACTAAACATGACTTTTAGACAGGGTGGAGCCCATTCTTCTATAGGAGGACAGACAATAGACAAGGTTGAGTCTTTTCACTCTCGCATATCCAATTCTAAAAGCACTTCCTAATATGGGCAAATAAGCTAACCAGGAACTTAATGTCATTTATTTTAAAAAATCCTCTCCTTTGATAGTATCTTTTCTAAGATCTAAGCGATTGGCTTTAAGTTGTCTTTCCTTTTCTGATTCCTAAGTGTTTCATAAACACAAACGCATAAGTAGCCATATTTTATCTTTCCATCGATTTTAGTCACACTTTGTAATTATGGTGTGGCACAGTCTTTTTTTAAAAAGTCTATGAGGACACTAAAACATACAAAATATCTTGGTTTAGGGAAACACTAGTTTGCAGATAAGAAATATCAGACTTTGGATATGGGTGTTATAAAAATCTGTGTGGCCGGGCGATGGTGGCGCACGCCTTTAATCCCAGCACTCGGGAGGCAGAGGCAGGCAGATCTCTGTGACTTCGAGGCCGGGCTGGACCGACAGCCTCCAAAACAATACAGAGAAACCCTGTCTCGTAAAAACCAAAAAAAAAAAAAAAAAAAAAAAAAAATCTGTGTGATGGGATAAACATTTGATCAGCACCCTAATTCATTCCTCTGTGTATAATGTTCATCAGAGAACTAATGACAGACATACAACTTAAATCTGGGTGATGTTTATAGGAAAGACTCTGAAATATTTTGTCTATGCATTTTTCATATGAAATGTAAAGTGTTTAAGCTAAACATTTTATTAAAAAATAAATTGAAGAGATTTAATTGCGATTTAATTATAGGTGGCTACTAATCTTCAAGTTTTAATAAATATTTGTTGATTGAATAGACAACATTTCTAGTCATGAAGTAAAGGACATATTTTAAGCCAGCTTTTTTTCCCATTTACTTTATCAGGGGCACACAAAGAAAATGAATTTTTTCAAAGTTGGAAAATATTTCACATTGGTGGACATGCCAGGGTATGGCTATAGAGCCCCAGAAGACTTTGTTGACATGGTAGAGACCTATCTAAAAGAACGAAAGAAGTAAGGAAACTTTTTTCTTACAATAGTTACACATTTAGTACCAAAGCACTTTTTAAATCAAGGGTATTCTACACATGACAGCTACTTCAGATTTATCAAATGACTTATTTGTAGGTGTATTTACCCTTATATTACTCTGCAGTATTAAGGACCAGGATATACACTGCCTGTTTAGCATCTGCCTATAGCTCAGGAAAATCTTAATTTCATTTATTTTTTTCAAGGTGAAACAAAAAAGTGTTCAAAAGTTAGTTCATTCATTTTGAAAAGAAAAAAAAACTATACTCTCAGCTAGCTAATTTTGAAAATGAAAATAATTAGCTAATTGAGTTAAATAAAATTCAGTACACTCTGTCTTAAAGTAGATCAGTCACTGCAAACTCCGAAAATGTTATCTTTATTTTTTGATCTCCATAAGGAATCAAGCAAATAATGTGTTTCAAGAATTACACACTCTAGAAGAAAATAATGTTACGAGATATATTTATTATTCATAACGGGCAGTGGTACTGCATGCCTGTAATCCCGACAGAGGCAGAGGCATGTGGATCTCTGAGTTTGAGGCAAGCCTGGTATACAAAGAGAGTTCCAGGGTAGCCAGGGCTATGCAGTGAAAGCCTGTCTTGAAAAAAAGAAAGAAAGGAAGGAAAAGAGGGAGGGAGGGAGGGAGGGAGGGAGGGAGGAACGATTCTTTAAAAAAAAAAAAAAACCAAGGATGTAGCTCAGGAAGAGTGCTTGCCTGACTTGCTAAAGGCTCTGGATTTGGTCTCAGCATCACAAATTGTGTGTGTGTGTGTGTGTGTGTGTGTGTGTGTGTGTGTGTGTGTGTGTGTGTAATTTGTATTTTGTATCTAGCTTTACATATAAAAGATAGAAAATTAAAGTAATATTAAAAATTACAATGAATTTAATTTTTGTCTCTTTTCCACTAGACTTTAAGGACTTACACAGGAGAAATCTCATTTATCTTTCTGTTAAGATTCAGTAGGCTTAATATGTTCTTATTGAAATAAATTGGTATTTGGTAAATTTAATTATTCAAAGTACAACAAACTTCACTGAGTCCTAGTGGACTACAGAATGAAGTTTCTAGGATGAAAGAGACACATGAATGAATATATCTTATATTGCCATTACTTTTCTTTCTATTCTTACAGCTTGAAGAGAACATTTTTGCTAGTGGATAGTGTTGTTGGAATTACCAAATTAGACAATATTGCCGTAGAAATGTGTGAAGAGTTTTCATTGCCGTATGTGGTAAGTGTGTCCTTAGAGTTAGGGTAGCAGTTAGAAATCACAGTTTGGGAAGCATATGAATATGCACATATACTTGTTGGTAGTGAGCAGTCATTCCCTCAGAAGATAGAGGCGGCTGGGGAGATGGGTCCATGGGTAGGAATGCTTGCTCCACAAGCATGAGAACCTACGTTCTAGTCCTTAACACCCACAGGAGCTGTGTGGTCACATGCGTGCCCATGACCCTAATACTATAGAGGCTGGAGACCACAGGATCCCAGCCCAGCTCCAGATTCAGTGAGAGGCCCTGGTTCAGTGTCCTCCTCTGGCCTCTGCATGTGTACACATACACACTGTTGCACACATAACACATGTATGTACCACATATACACACACACACAAAAATCAAAAGTGCCGTTAGGTGCTGTGACAATTTCTTATTTTTCCCTTCTTTCAGTTCTAAGTTTTTAAGTTCATGGGGATATATGCAGGAAAAACATCAGTGCATATGAAATAAAATTAAAAATTTAGAAATATCTCATTGGCTGTTTTTCTGCCAGCATAAAATTGACCTACACTAAACTGCAGATTGGTGGGTTAGTATCCACATTTTGTTTCGTAATGCTTCCAGATAGATAGACTTTTAAAGTTCATTTTTAAGAAAAGTGAGGAACCCAATGACTATAATTTACTTTTCAAAAATGACAGAAACCACTAAAATGAAGCAGTGAAGTCTCATGTGAATAAAGCCATGCAACTTGGCAACCACTTTTGTTATACTCTTGAAATTAGGACATTCTTGGGATTTGCATGGGTCCTATGAAGTATTAGGGACTGTTAGAATGCATCAAGGAGTTAGTATAAAAATGACTAAATATTATCAAACTGCCTGTGAAGTAATAGTATTCCTGATTTTGTATCATAGATACCACTTTGAAATCATGTATTTCCTTCAGTTCAAGCTGAAAGGAATATTATTTTTCTTCTTTGGAAAAGGAATTAAGATGTTATTAATAATCCAGGTACCCAAGAAGGGGGAGAAGAACAAACAAAAAGATGACTTTAAGTTTTAGCCTAGGGAAATTATAGTTCAGTGATACACCACTTGCCTGGCATGGATGCGCCCCACCACCACCAGCTTCAAGTAAGAGTGTGTATGTTTGAGTGTTTGATATTCCCCGGGAAAACCTGATAGATTGAAATGTTACTTTGTCCTTGATTTGTAATCACCCATGCTTTGACCTTCCTCTGCTATAGTTGGGTAAGTAACATTCTAGATTTACCTAGGATACAAGTATAGTAGTAGATATAGCCAACAAAGAACCCAATTTCTAATTTTTCCTTTGAGTATTACATGTAAAATTAAACTTTTTGATTTCAAAATTGTTACATATTGGCAACTTTATGTGGCTCAGTCAAGTTACATTCATTTAAATATCTTAGACTCTAAAATACATTGTAATCACATAAAACAACTGGTGTTAGTTATAAATGTGGTTCTGGTTCTCACTGATCTTTAAATAAAACCCAAGGCATTATGGTCATGTGTGCTAAAGCATTGTTAAGTAGCAGACACACAGTGCACACTTTATATATGACATATTTTAGCTTATCTCATCATCAGCAAATTATTTATAGCTTGTTTTATTTTATAGATGAGAAAGCAGATAGAGATTAAGAAATTTACTTGAACCAACTCAACTAACTGAAAAATTATAATTAAAATGTGTAAAACTATATTGATAAATTTTATTTCTAATACTTAAATTCCTTTTCCTATAGATGGTATTAACAAAAATTGACAAATCTTCCAAGGGCTATCTTTTAAAACAAGTGCTTCAGATCCAGAAGTTTGTTAACACACAAACACAAGGCTGTTTTCCTCAGTTGTTTCCTATAAGGTAAGAGTCAAATTGCTCAATAACATTTAGTACTAGAAGCCTTTACCAGGGAAATCTCTGTGAGTTCAATGTCAGCCTGGTCTACAGAGTGGGTTCCAGGACAGCCAGGACTGACACAGAGAAACCCTGTCTCAAAACCCCACACCCCCCCCCAAAAAAAGAAAGAAAGAGCTTTCACTATGAAATCGGTGTTCCTTGATTGAGGTGCCACTTGGGAACCAGTTTGGCTGTGAGTTTTCACAGTCTGTTAGTGTTTTATCTGCTCTCTCTGTTCATGCCTGCTCTCCCTTAAAGGTTCTTCATTCTCCTGCTTCAGCCTAGCTCCACCCTAGACCATGACAGAAATGAAAGCTTTACTTTTCAAACAGCCCTTACTTATTATTTATCTGTCGTGTGTGAGCACATGCATGCAGTTGTGTGCCTGTGGAGGTCAGAGGGTGCCTTTTTGGAGCCGGTCTTTGCTGCCTGCCACCTTGTGGAGCTGCCTCTCAAACTCAGGTCATCAGCTTTCAAACAAGCGCTTCCACCTGGCGAGCCTCTCACCAGCACTAATTTCAATGAACACCACTTCCGGTAAAGAGCTCGTTCAGGCCATAACAGCTCAGCTTGCCTGAAAATTGACAGGAAAATTTTACTTCCGTGAAGACTATGTACAACTGAGATTAAAAATAACAAAAATAATTAAAAATTTAATATAAAATAGGCCTATGTAAAGAAGAAAAATGTTTCAAGTTTGGATTAAACTGAACAGACAGATTAGTTTTTGGTTTTTGGGGGGGTTTTGGTTTTTGATTTTTTTGGTTTTCAAGACAGGGTTTCTCTGTGGCTTTGGAGGCTGTCCTGGAACTATCTCTTGTAGACCAGGCTGGTCTCGAACTCACAGAGATCCACCTGCCTCTGCCTCCCAGTACTGGGATTAAAGGTGTGCGCCACCAACTCCCGGCTCAGAATAGGCGTTTTCTAAGCTGGTAAATTTGGGGACATTATGATGCAGTGACTAGAAGTGGAAACACTTGGGTTTTTCCTTCTGTTGTGTATCAGGTGCAGTAAGCACTGCGTACTGAGGCAGGTGGAGCATCAGTCTCTGGTTTCCTTGCCCTGACTTGTTTGTGGGAGGCACCGTGATAATTTGTGAGAAAATTTAAAAAAAAAAGTGTCACAGTGTGATGTAGGTGGAACTGTCCCCTTAGCCGTTTTAGTCATATCAGTCTAGATCTGATTGAAATTGAAATTCTGAATGTGCCTTGCAGGACCCCCTCCTTATTCCTACACAGTGCTCTCTCCAGTCACCTACGTTCAAACCTGCCCTCTGCCTTTGCCTTTATCCTACAAGTGCAGTGCAAATCCTACAGGTCAGAATAAAGTCCTAATTCCTTCCAGAGCCCTCAGCATTGTCATATAAAACAGCCATTTAACTGTTTAGTAAGAAATCAAGTGGGTTTAAAAAGCACACGTGGCTAATATATACCTATGTTGAAAAAATGTAAATTTTAGTTACTATAAGCTGAGCTTGAATTAACAGCATGATGTTACTAGGGAAAACTAATAATTTTGGGAGCTTCATCAATGGAATCATGGAGTTTCACAACAGGGACTGATGAGGCACTAGCTTCACACTGCTGTATACATACATACACTACATACCAAAAGCCAGTCCTGTCAGATTGTGGCTTGGCATTAGCTAAAGCCACATGAAAACGGATAATGGGGCGGGTGAGGAGTGCTGCACATACAGCGTGCTGCACTGATCTTCATAGTAAACATGCCTGCTTCACATAGAAGGCTACAAGTGAGAAATGCTGTCTGCTCAAGTGGAAGGAGCCTGGCCTTAGGGTCGATAGCCGTGATTTTGTATAACATCTGTGAGTTTCTGTTAGAGGCTACTGGCTTTAAAGCAACTATCCATTTTCCTAAGTCCATTTTCTCACGGGTAAATGTCAGTAGAAGGATCATGTGTCGTGATTGATACATACACTTGAAATATATGATTTCCTTTCTGGCCAGTCATAAATGTCAGGGTTAGGCTTAAGAGCCACGTTATTGGATTCCTGCTGTTTTTAAAGGCATTTGCTTTTTTAGACATGACAGCTTTCTCTGCTGCATGCCATACATATTTACCACATGTGACCAAGGTCCTGTAGAAAGTCACCCACCTTAGAAAGTCCACTTAGAATCTATGGATTGAGACATGGAAGCCTATTCATTGTCCTGAAAGAAATTCACTATTCACTTGTACACAGCAGTCATTTACAGAATATGCTCATAGCTCTCAAAACCTTGTAGACGTCTATACACTTGCTCACTTGCTTGTTAAAGCTCCAGGCATTCCTTCACATGTAGTTTGGCCTATTCACAACTGAGTACTGTAAGTAAGTCATGTTTTATTTTCTGTCCTTCCTATATTCTCTTAGGACAGTGACTCTCAACCTTCCTAACCTGCAGCCCTTTAATATAGTTCGTTGTGCTGACCCCCAAGCATAAAATTGTTTTCATTGCTACTCCATAACTAATTTTGCTACTGTTGTGAATTATAATATCAATATTTTTGGAGATAGAGGTTTGCCAAATGGATCGAGACCCACAGGTTGAAAGCTGCTGTCTTGAAGAGGAAGGTGAAGCCACTTAGTCTGAAAGGTTTGACTTTGAACCTATAGACAAAAATTAAGTGATAATTTTTATGCATGAAATTTGGCCCAACATAGAGAAAAGTATAGATATAAAGTGTCCTCATAGATTAATATTACGAATGGTATATTTTATAAATGACATGGAAAAATAGGTGAGTAGGCAGTCGAATTGCTTCTGTGTCTTTGTGTAGTAAAATTCCAAGCAGACGAGAACTGACTCTGGGAAGAGAATTGTGAGTTAAGAGAAACATTGCACATGAATGCAGAGTGCTAATCAGTGTAGGACGCATCAAACCTGGATCTCCTTTAAATTATTAATGCTTAGGTCAGTTGTAAACGCCATCATAAGGTTGTTTTCGGCATGGTAGTTTTAGCCAGAAAATCTAAAATGGTATACATACTAACAGAACTGGCAGCATGGCAGGCAAGATTCCCCCTTTTATAAAACCAGAGTATGTTCAGGCCTGAGAGACCACACTTGTCCACCTCTGCGTGGATGGAGACAGAAACATAAAAGTCAGTTTGTAGTGATGCTACAGTTCAAGGTGTTTGAATTTTTGTCACAAAAAGACCAAACTAATTACTCTGGAGAAGAGAAAGCAAAATGGAAGGGGTGGTAAATGTCTAAAGTCGTGAAAGGAATGGATCAGATGTTGGGGATCATCAGAATAGATGTGTGAATCTATTTTAGAAAGTGCAGAGTATTGCACGAAACTGACAGAAGGAAGATAGACCAGAAGGGATTATAAGTTTGTTTTAAAAAAAAAAACCTTGCATAACATGAATTCTGTTCTGTTACAACCTCTGAGGCAAGGGAAAACCTTGTTTCCTTTTCTTTTCACAGTGCAATGACCTATTCTGGAGTCCATCTGTTGAAATGCTTTATAGCAGATGTAACAGGAAGTCTTAAGTAAACGCTCCCAGAGTACATGAAGTTCCAACGTCCTCCATGTCAACTGGAGTCAAACACCTAGAAGAATACCAATATTGTTTTAAATATTGTGTGACTCAACTTGCAGAAGAATCAGTTCAGCTTTAAACCTGCATTATCCTGAAGCAAAAATTAATTTATTGGGGTTGAGGATTATAATTAAATCATATTGTTCATTAGGAGAGATGCTAGCTGGCTTTTCTGCTTTAACAAACTGACAAGTCCAAAAGCATATAGAAACATATGAAGTGAGCTCCTGTTATTACTATGTAGAGGTTTGTTACAGTATTAACTTCTTATGTTAATAAATGTCAGGCTGGAGAGGTGGCTCAGGTTACGAGCACTAAGTGCTCTTCTAGAGGTCCTGCCTTCAATTCCCAGCAACCACATGGTGGCTCACAACCATCCATAATGAGATCTGATGACCTCTTATGGCCTGCAGGCAGAACATTTTATACATAATAGATAAATAAATTTTTAATAAAATACCTGTTTTTAATGTTGTGTCAACTAGATAAGGTGGGGCTGCCTTTCTGTAAGGCATGCATAGATAAGTAGAAAAGTAAATGACTATATGTATGCTTATCATTTTTCCTCTAGTCTTTATTTGAATGTGAAAAATTTTGTCAAAATTTGCCAGGCCACAGAAACACCAGTCATGTAGAATCATTTGATGCCCTTTGTGTGAACAAAGTCGATAATCAGAATCCAGGATTTAGGTTCCACTTCTCATGTCTGTTATTCCTTGGTTCTTGGGGGAAATCACCTGTTTTCTCACCTCGTTGGTGGCTATCAGCACCTGAGCTGTGAAGTCTAACAAGTTCTATGGGTGACAGCTGTACATTTGCAAGCCCAAACCAACTAAAGGACACAGCAAAACTCACAGATTTTTACCACAAAAAACATCCCAAACAGGATACAAGCTTTAAGTGAGGAAATGAGTTCACAAGTCAGTGGGATGGTTTAGAATCACTGTACTACAGATGTGGAATGGGAAGACTAGCTTTTGACCTGTAACTCAAAGGAGCAAATTTCTTATGAAGACATCCACTCTTCATGAAGTGTCTTAGTGTTTCAAAGTGAGATTGCTGTCAGAGGTTATAACTGTGGCAAGGATGTACAATTTCATGGCTTTTTAAAAACTCAATAGTAACTGTTTTCAGTTGTTTTATAATTAGCTAGTCTGTTTTGTCCTAATTAGCAGTATTTAAAAAAGATTTTAAAAAATTCTCACAAAGCAAAATACAGGTGTCAAAAGAATTGCACTCCGGGCTGGAGAGATGGCTCAGAGGTTAAGAGCACTGACTGCTCTTCCAGAGGTCCTGAGTTCAAATCCCAGCAACCACATGATGGCTCACAACCATCTATAATGAGACCTGGTGCCCTCTTCTGACATGCAGACAGAACAGTGTATAATAAATAAATCTTTAAAAAAAAAAAAAAAAGAATTGCAGTCAAAGGTCCCCTGCCAGAAGCAGAGATGTCTGCCAAAGCTTCCATGGGAGCATACTTGTGAGTGACGAAGAGAATGGGATGGTGAAGCAGGAGCGCTTGTCCAGCGTGCTGCCCACAGACGCTGGTGCTTGGTGTTGAGGGACTTTGTGCACAGCCCCAAGACGTGGGCCTCTACTGCAAGAGAATGGAGCCCAGTGGTAAAGCTGTAGCCTGGCATATACAAAGCCTAAAAGCAGGGACAGGTCCCCAAAGCAGAAGTCCAGTCCCACTCAAAACTGGTTGACACAGCAATGAGTGTCAAGAAAAGACATGAGTTCTCTCATGCACTGCTCTTAAAAAGACTGGAACACCTAATGCTCCTTTCAACCATATGTGAGATGCTAGGAACTGAAGTGTTTAGATTACAGAATTTATATTTGCAGACTTTAATAGTAGAATGTCCCACGTCCAAGAGTCCCAAATCAGAAATATTCCAAACTTGTAACTTTTTGAGCCTGTTTGTAGTCAAAATGTTCCAGAGCAGAAAGCAGTGTGGAAAGTCCAGATTCACAGCCCACCACTCCCACCTCAGGCCTTTGAGGCAACAGTGTCCAGGTGTGCCCAGGCTTGCCGGCTTACAGCTTGTGCTGTCATAGGACACCTGGTCACTACAGAGGGCAAGGGGAAGATGCCTGTTTTCTCCTAAGAAACTCACTCTTTCTGGCCTGGAGGAGTTGAGGGCCAAGTGGATTTTCCATGACCATCATTTCTGGGAGCAGGTGTACTGGTGTGTACAAAGTCGGGTTATGGTATTGATACCAGGTTATAAATTTATGATGGGCCTTATTTATACACTCACCTACTTCTTTGTGTACAAAGTCGGGTTATGGTATTGATACCAGGTTATAAATTTATGATGGGCCTTATTTATACACTCACCTACTTCTTTGCTGCATTCCATAGATACAATAAGGAAACTCCAAAAGCCTTGTAGTATACAGTGACAAAATAAGGATTAAACAAGTTTTAACCATTTGAGTAATGGAAAAATCTTTTGATAATTCATTTCAGTAACATAACATACACTGGCATACACACACTGTTATTCAAAAGAACCTGGGCAGATGAGATGGCCCAGCGGGTAAACATACACGCTGCTAAGCCTGCCATCTGAATTCCATCCTGGGACCTACTGGTGGAAGGAGAGAACTAACTCTCACAAGTTATCCTCTGATATCCACACACATGTACACACACACTGTGAAAACCTTAAAAAGGGAATGGGGTCAGTGAGGCCAAGTGACCCCTTATGGTACTTCCTTGCTACTCCATCCCTGCTCCCTGTTTACCCTAAGATATGTAAGATTTTGTGAACTTCAGATCTTAACTCCCTGGTAAGTCATAAACTCATCTGATTTTCAGAAACCTTGCTTCAGTCAAGAAGGTATGTGTTATTCAGGGGCAGGCTGTGACAGACTTTTTATCATTTCACACCCTACGCAGTCATAGTCAAATAAATACTAAGTGATTAACTGACACAGAGCTGCAGTAAATGTTTATTGAACTGGCGTGCACTCGTGTGGAATGCTGCAGACACAGCTCTCAGCGCTTCCACTTAAAACAGCAGAGCCCTGAACCAGCTGGGTAACTGCCCAGAAGTTTCGCATCTAAACACCCATCAAAGCAAAAATATCATCAATGTCATCTGCCTCTCTAGCAGCTTCTGGCACACCGTGTGTGTGTGTTTGTGTCTCTGTCCACAAAGCAGTTTCATTTCCACTGCCTGCTGAGACAGTGCCATGGAACCCTGGCCCCTTTGTTTTCAGGGCAGGCTTTGAAAGTCTTCTCAAGACCTGCTTTCTGTTAGGACAGACATCTGTCCTCGGAACTGTCCCACCTGAGCGGCTCCACTTAGCACTGGGGTCCCTAGCGCTCTTCAGAGTCCCTTCAGGGACCTGCTGAGTTTCCTTTAAAAGAGTTGACTGTAACTTTCTCTGTGGTTTCCTTTGTCTCGATAAAACTTTATGCTTTGATCTTCTTTGTCTGGGAGAACACTTTGAAGTGCTGATAATGGAGCCTCGAAGAAGGCAGTTGCAAAGAGATGTTTTCATGCACTGTAGCTTCTTTGGCAAACTAAAGGACAGAAGAGAAAAATCTCAACTTACTATGATTCTAAAAAGTTCTCAAGCACTTTTAACTATCTGCACCAATTTCCAACAGAAAAGTACACAATTTGTTGTAAGTCCTAGGCCTGTATGTATGTATAACCTCAAACATACAAAACAGAGAAGTGAGAGTTCCAATTCCCTCTCTAATTCAGGATGCAGACAAATGTGCCTCCATTTTACCCTCAGAGCAACTCCAGTAACTACCCAGCAAGGTCACAAATGGTGAGACACCTCCACACTTGAGAGCCATGGCCTTTCCCTTACACCAATAGTCTGTTCCTAGGGTAAACAAGTGGAAATTGCAAAATACCACAAATGGGAAGCTCTGCAGTGTGTCATAATGCATTTCTAGCTGAGTTCATGGCATAGCAGATGATCAGAGCAAAGGAATAGAAGTGAAGAGGGGCTTCAAGTGAAGACAAACTGACAGCTGTCAGATGCCTAAGTGTGAGTTGTGCTGTACCCGCTTCAAGTCTGCAGTAGAACTCAGACGAGGAGTCTAGGCATTTGCTTCACTACCTTATGAGTTATTCTGGCCTTCGTAAACTACCTACCTTACTGTTGGTAAAGACTAACTTGGCTCTATGTGCCTTACCCAAATCCCTTCATTTAAAAAAAATGCATAGTCATTTAAGGAAAGCAATTCATGACCCCTTTCCCAGACATGACTATAGCAGTGACTTTTCATTGTGTAAAAAGTGGGTGCTTTTCTGAGTTGAAACGAAAACAAGAATCAGAAGAACGGAATTGAGTTCTAGATCTCCAATCCCAATACCTTGAGCAATACCATCTCTTTGCATATAAAATGGGAATGATAACTTGCCTATCTTTCAGAGTACTGTGGGCATTAAGTGTTTTACAAAATGTACTACAGAAAAACAAAACATATTAATGAAATAGCAACAGGGCAATATGGTTACTATATTTTGGGAAGTAGAAAGTAGCAGTTTAACCAATAAACCCGAGTTTAGTTTGTTACCCTCTTGCTAACTGTTCATCATGACTTGTTTCCTCGCTGTTCTAAACTGTTCTTTGTTTATAAGAGTCACGAAAATTGAACACACCTATATGTGAGCATCCAGCTGCTTTACAAGCATCAGACCTGGCCCTAATCCCTGCAGCCTGTGTGGGCCGCACACGCAGAAGCACTCACTTCTCTTATGTCCTCACCCAGCTATGCTGATGCTGTCTATAGAAGGCTACCTCCCACTAGAACATGAGTTCCTGAGAACTAAAACTGCTTGCTGCGTGCGGCTGTCCCCGGGCAACCTTAACCCACGCCTTCTGAAATGAACCAGTGAGAATGATGCATGCAGTATAAATTAGTTTAAGTCCAATGAACTAACTCTTCATTAACTTTCTCCCTCCTGACGCAACTGCCCAGATTCCATGAGCAACACAGGCAACTATACTTTGAGTAGGTCTTGTTTTAGTACCCCGAGGGCTGCTAGACATCCCATTTTAAACAAAGGAGGCAATGCACACACGTACACTTTCTTACCAAAAGGGGAGAGGAATTTTCTAACACAATTACCTATAACCTTGAGCTTCCACATGTCTAAGCCTGTTACTCTTAAGAAGTTTGTTGCCCAGATAGGTGGCCTGAGCCTTGAGTTTTTTGCTCCGGCACCACATGACTGCCATTTGGATTTCTTCAGAGAGCTGGGTGAAAGTCTTGGTCACTCGGATTCTTTGCACAATATTGCTAGCCCAGGAAGTTCGTGTCAGTTTCTGAGAGGAAAGTTTGCTTGTCTTAAATCTGGACTGAGAACATTTAAACTCATGAGTGGTCTCCTGAAATATAAAAAGGTGAGAAGATAAATTGAAAGTGGTATTGACTTATAACAAAGAATAAGAGTCTTGGAAAGCTGATTGTTTTCTTTTTTTTTTTAATTTCAAATAATTAGTCTTTTTGTGTATATGGTAAGGAAACTCTTAATCCATTAACCTGTCCTTTTTAATCCATTCTTTTTTTTTTTTTTT